CTTCGGCCTGCCCCTTTCACGATTTCGTGGCCCCCCTTGTAGGGAGCTCCACCGCAGGCCGCCCCAGCGGGCAGGTCCGCGAGGCGGCAGCTCCCCCCGAATATGGAGCGAGAGGGGGTTGGGAGCGAGAGGGGATCGAAGCGATTGTATTTTGTGTTCAGTGTTTGGACGTGCTGTTTATGGATCCTTTTCCACGTTTTTTTTTTCCGTTGCGCAGGGATCGACCAACTTATACTTTTTATATCTGTTTATAGCATTGAACTCCCTTTGGACTGCAATTGCAGGTCCGCGAGGCGGCAGCTCCCCCCGACGCCTCGGGGGGGCCGCCGCCCTCCGGCCCCGGCGGGGAGAGAGGCGCGGGGGGGCCCGCGGGGCGCCCCCCCCCCACCCCCCCCCCCCCCCGGCGGGTCGCCGCGGCCCCACCCCCGGGCGCGCCCAACCCCGCCACGCCGAGGAGGGCCCCACCTCCCCGCGGTGGCGCCCAGCCCCCCGGCGGAGAGGGGCCCGTCGGGGGGCGCCCCCCGCCCCCCGAGGGGCCTCGGGGGCGCCGCCCACGAGCCCGCCCGCCGTCCCCCGGGACTGCCTCCTCGGGACCGCCCACCGTCTGCTCGGGACCGCCGCCTTTCCCCATATCTCGAAGGAAGGAGAATAATAAGAATGATGGTAATACTACTAAATAGTACTAATACAATAGTAATACTATATTCTTCTTATTCTTCTTCTTCGTATTCTTCTTCTTCTTCTTCTTATTATTAGTATTTTTTATTATTATTATTAATAGTAATATTATTATTATTACTATTGATAAGAATGCTAGTAATAATAATAGTAATAATGATATTATTATTATTACTCAGAAGAAGAACACTAATAATCATACTAATACTAATAGTAAGAATACTAATCATCATAATAATAATAGTAATAATAAGAAGAAGAACTATGATAAGAGGAAGAAGAGGAAGATAAATAATACTAAGGAGGAACATAAATAATACAATAACGCCATAAACATAAACTTTTGGCGCTCCGCGCGGATTTCTTGGACCCGCGCCTGGGCCCCCCGGGCGGCGCCTCTGGCGCCGCCCCTGTCCAGGGAGGGGGGCCCAGCGCGGATCCAAGAAATCTGCGCGGAGCGCCAAAAAGTTGTGTTCATGCCGTTTTTCTTCTCCCACCCATGTCATCAGGTCGTTCTGAGGACGCACGTTGGCATGTCATCAGGGCGTTTTCCAGGATCCAGGAAGCGTGTTGCCAGGAGCCTGGCAACATGTTGTCAGGACCCTGTTGGAGGGTTGTATTCCAGACCACGGTCCCAAGTCCTCGGGGAACCACGGTGCGGGGTGCACACATCCGTATTTGCTCCATCCGCAAGGCATTCACGCACCCTCTTCTCGTGGCTAGGTGCCCTGCGACGTGGGGATAGGGGCGGGGCGAACCCTTCCCTGAAGGTGGAGACGGGGTTGCTTTGTCAGGCGGACCCGCTCGGCCACCCACGCCAAGAAGGCTGGTGGGATGAACGCCCCTTCCACGCCCAGCCAAGCCAGGACCCTGGAGATGTCCGCGGTGGAGCGGCTGATCCCCGGGAAGGACCCTGCAGTGCTGCTGCGCATGCCCGAAGATACCTTCCGCGCCGTGGCACGCTCGCTGGCGCCGCGCGTGAGCTCCCGGCTGCTCGCGGCCGCCTGCGTGATGCAGGCGCGCGTTGAGGGTGCCCAGCTGGCCCCCGGCGGCTACCTGGAGAGCGTGGCGGCGAGCGTGACGAACGGGGGCCCGCTGCCACAGGCGCCGGTGAGGTCCGGGGGCAGCGCTGCAAGGGAGATTGGCTCAGGGTGGGGGGGACATGGAATTGGAGTCGGCGGTGCATCGCTGGCGCTGCAAACCGCGCCAGCGAGGTGCGGAAAGCCTCAGAAAGTGTCAGGGGCAACGACGTGAGGGGGAGACCAGCCAAGGGGAGGGAACATCGAGCTCGAATCGGCGATACGTCGCCGACAGGTCGGCGACAGGCCCCAGATAGCGAATCCGCTCGCTCCTGGGCGGGGTGGGTTATCAGGATTCTATTGGCAAGGTATCTAGCTGCCTGCGGCAAACCCCGACACCGTGCCTGTGCAACAGCGCAGGTCTGAGTGTAGGAACAGCGCAATTCCGACGAGTAGTCTGCAGTGGGGAGGGTCGTGGTCCCGACCTCGTCTTCGTCCGCGCGGTAGGGAGGCGGGGGAGGAGAAGGAGGAGGAGGAGGAGGAGGAGGAGGAGGAGCAGGAGCAGGAGCAGGAGCAGGAGCAGGAGCAGGAGCAGGAGGAGGAAGAGGAGGAGGAAGAAGAGGAGGATGAGGAGGAGGAGGAGGAGGAGGAGAGGGAGAAAATGAGGAGAGGAGGAGAAGGCTTCTTTGGGCCTTCTTGGGGCTTCCTGGGGGCCTCCTGTGAGCTTCCCGAAAGCTTCTTGGGGGCCTCCAAGGGGGCCTCCTGGGGGCCTCCTGGGCCGTCTTAGGGTACTCTTGGCCCGTCTGACGCCTATGGAGGCCGCCTTGGGGGCATCTCTAGGCCGCGGTGGTGCTCTCTTGGAGCGGTTCACGGCCGTCTTAGGGCCCTCCTGGGAGCCTCTTGGGCGATCTCTGGGTCCTCTTGGGCCGACTTCGCGCCCTCTTGGGGACCTCTTGGGCTGTCTTGGAGCTATCTTGGAGGCCTTTTGGATGCTTCTTGGGCCGTCTTGGGAGATCTGAAGCCCGAACAGGCGAGAACCTCAAAATCTGCCAAACACCTGGGGGCAATCAATGGTGTAGGCCTGCTCTGGCTCTCCTGCAGGGCCTCTTGGAGACCTCTTGGGCCGTCTTGGGGGCTTCTTGATCAGTCTTGAGGCTGTCTTGGGAGCCCCTTGAGCCGTCTTGGGCCATCTTGGCTTCATCTTGGCTATCTTGAACGCCGTCCTGGAGGCCATAAGGCTCCCAAGAAGGCCTCAAGGCAGATGAAGAGGCCCCCAAGACAGTCCCAGAGGTCTCCAAAAGGCCCTCCAGGAGAGCCCGAGGAGGCTAACACCATTGCCTCTCTGGGCAGTCTTGTTGCTCTCCTGGGTCGCTTCAACGCCGTCTTGGGGCCTTCTTTGAGAGACCCTTGGGCGATCTCTGGGTCCTCTTGGGCTGACTTAGCGCCCTCTTGGGGGCCTCTTGGGCTGTCTTGGAGCCATGTTGGAGGCCTCTTGGAAGCCTCTTGGAAGCCTCTTGGGCTGTCTTGGATGGTCGGAAATCCGAACAGACGAGAACCTCAAAATCAAACACCTACGGAGCATCACTGGTTTGGGCCCCCTCGGGCTCTCCAGGAAGGCCTCTTGGAGCTCTCTCAAGCCGTCTTAGGGGCCCTTTTGGGCCGTCTTGAGGCCTTCTTGGGCTATCTTGAGCAGTCTTGAGGCTCTCTTGGCAGGCTCTTGAGCTGGCTTAGGCCATCTTGAGTCGTGGTGTTGTCGTCTTGGCTGTCTTGGAAGCCGTCTTGGAGATCACACAGACCGCCAGAAAGGCATGTCAGAAGAGGCGTTGTTCTAGGGGCGCGCGCGGGTAGGAGTGGGTGGGATCCTTAAAAATATAACAAAAATCCCTCCAGACAACACAACGCACTCTAACACGCCCAGGCACGGTGGCGGATCGCCGATTCCAGCTCGGTGTTCCCCCCTCCCCCTGATTCCGCCCCCCCCCTTCTCAGCGTTGCCCTGCAGAGGTGGCCCCTGGAGGAGGTGCTGCAGAGCATGGACCTGCTGGCGAGGGCCGCCAACGCGGATCCGGAGCAGCCGCTGCTGCGGCTGGAGCTGGCGTGCTCCTGGGAGGAGTCCGGCTGCGTTCCTCCTCTTCTTCCTCCTCCTCCTCCTCCTCCTCCTCCTCCTCCTCCTCACCTCCTCCTCCTCCTCCTCCTCCTCCTCCTCCTCCTGGCGTGCTCCTGGGAGGAGTCTGGGCTGCGCTCCTTCGGGCCCGCGGGCGCCGCCGCCGTGGTGCGCCTGGGCTACCTGCAGGCGCGCCAGGCGCTCCACGCGTTCGCGGGCGGCCGCGTGGCCAAGGAGCCGACGATGAACCCGAGCCCTCGATCCTCGACCCTCGATCCTCGATCTTCCTCCTCCTCCTCCTCCTCCTTCCTCCTCGCCTCCGCTCCTCCCTCCTTCACTCCGCTCCTGCCTCCTACTCCTACTACCTCATCCGTCCTCCTTCCCTCCTCCTCATCAGGGGCTGCCTCCTACCTCCTCCTCCTTCATCCTCATCGCTCCTCCTCCTGCTCCTTTCCTCTCCCTTCCTCCTCTAATCTTCATTCCTCCTCATCCTCCTCATAGACTCGTCTCTCCTCCTTCCTCCTCCTCCTCCTCCTCCTTCCTCCTCCTCCTCCTCCTCCTCCTTCCTCCTCCTCCTCCTTCTCCCCCTCCCCCTCCTCCCCCCTCCTCGAGGATCGAGGGTCGAGGGTCGAAGGTGCGTGGGAGGCCTGGGTGGCTCGGACGGGGGACCCGGTGCCCGGTCCGCTGCTCGTGCCGGAGAGCCCTCGTCGCCGCGGGCAGCTTCTCCCCGAGATTCTCGTCGGCAGGCGCCCAGGGAGAGGTCCGAGGGTTTTGCGGTGGCGGTCTCTTTTCTCGGCGGCCAGCCTGGGGGGACAAATGGGAAGGGTCGGGCCTTCTCAGAAGGCTCTGAGAAGCTGTCTGAGCCTTCCCCGAGGGCACGGAGAGCTTGTCAGAGCGCCGGAGGGCTTCTGAGAAGTCCCGCTGCCGTCCGAGCATGCCTCCCCCTTCTCACTTCCCCCCGCTCGCCGCCGATTTCTGTTCCCTCAAGCGGCATACAGGTAAACTTGCCAACGCGGATGTCTCGGATCAGTGCGCCCCGGGCGCCGGCCCAGATGGGGTAGAAGTACCCAGACCTCTTCGGGTCATGGACAAATCACGACGGGAGGTTTCCAGCTATTGCCGGCCTACGGGGGCCCTTACCGGGCCTCGGGACCGTGGAAACACGACTCAGGACAGAAAACCGGTCACGGGAATGGGTCGAGATCTTTGGGGTCGACGTTACGTTAAAATCCTGACGTCGAGGGACTGGGTAGATGGGGTTGAGGATGGCGCCAAATCGCCGATGCGTCGGCGATGCGGCGCGATGTAGAGCCCGACGTTCTCCAATCCGACGTCGCCGATGCATCGCCCAAGTCGCCGCCGCGTCGCCGATACATCGGCGACGCGGCGCAATCCTCCGACCCCATCTAATTGGACCCTCTCTAAGTCTACGAGGCCTCGTCGCCGCCGCCGCCGCAGCCGCCGTCGTCGTCGTCGTCGTCGGCGGCGGCGGCGGCGGCGTCGGCGTCGGCGTCGGCGTCGGCGTATGCGTCGACGGCAGTGTCGGCGTCGGCGTCGGCGTTGGCGGCGTCGGCGTCGGCGTCGGCGATAGCGTCGGCGTCGGCGTCGTCGTCATCGTCGTCGTCGTCGTCGCCGTCGTCGTCGCCGTCGTGGTGGTGATCGTCGTCGTCGTCGTCGTCGTAGGAGGAGGAGGAGGAGAAGGAGGAGGAGGAGGAGAAGGAGGAGGAGGAGGAGATGGCGGAGGGGGAGGGAGGGAGGGAGGAGGAGGAGTGGGGAGGAGGAGGAGGAGGAGGAAGAGGAGGAGAGAGGAGGAGGAGGAGGAGGAGGAGGAAGGAGAGGAGGAGGAGGAGGAGGAATAAGGGGAGGAGGAGGAGGAGGTAGGAGGAGGAGGAAGAGGAGGAGGAGGAGGAGGAGGAGGAGGAGGATGGAGGAGGAGGAGGAGGAGAGGAGGAGGGAGGAGGAGGGAGGTTGGAGGAAGAGGAGGAGGAGGGAGGAGGAGGAGGGGAGGAGGAGGAAGATGGGGAGGCGGGGATGAGGAGGAGGAGGAGGAGGAGGAGGAGGAGGAGGAGGAGGAAGGAGGAGGTAGGAGGAGGAGATAATGGAGATGAGGAGGACTGACGATGGATGGATGCGTGAGGAGGAGGAGGGAGGAACAGGAGGGGAAGAGGAGGGAGGAGAGAGGAGGAGGGCGGAGGGAGGAGGAGAGGAGGAGGAGGAGGAGGGAGGGAGGGAGGAGGAGGGAGGAGGGAGGAGGGAGAGGGAGGAGAGGAGGAGAGGAGAGGAGGGAGGGAGGAGGAGGAGGAGGAGGAAGAGGAGACGAGGAAAGGAGGAGGAGGAGGGACTGAGGAGGAGGAGGAGGAGGACGGACGAGGAGGAGGAGGAGGAGGCGGAGGAGGAGGAGGAGCAGGAGCAGGAGCAGGAGCAGGAGCAGGAGCAGGAGCAGGAGGAGGAGGAGGAGGAGGAGGAGGAGGAGGAGGCGGAGGGAGGAGGAGGAGGAGGAGGAGGAGGAGGAGGAGCAGGAGCAGGAGCAGGAGGACGAGGATGATTTTTTGAGCTCATCAGCTCTCCCCCACCAAATGCATTAAGTCTGGCGGTGGTGGGGGACATCAGCATGCTAAAGTGACATTGGTCCGAGTCGCCTGACGACTCGCACGCCAGCACGCTGGGCGCAAGCCGAGGCCTGCTCGTCATATTAGACAGAGCGGCAGGCCACTGGATACAGGTGCCGCTCAGCTGCTTGCTGCCACTCTCACCTGACACAGGGCGAAAGGGCGGGCAGCACAGCTGAGCGTCAGTGACTGACGCAGGAGAGGGGCCAGCACGCAAGCCCGCAGCCTCGCTCTCCAGGGCACTTTCGCCTCCACGAGGGAGCACAGCCTGATTACAGGAGGGCGGGAGGGAGGAAGCGACGGCCAAAACTGGCAGAGAGTCACCAAACCGACGCCGAGAAGCCTCTTCCTCCGCATCCAGAGGATCGAGGGCGAGCTCGGTGCCACTCTCACCTCTCCTGTGGGGTGGTGGCGCCGAGCTCTTGACCACTGAGGCCGCAGGCTCAGCAAACAGAGGCCGAGCAGCCTCTTCTTCCGCTTCAAGAGGGTCGAGGGCGAGCCTGGTGCCACTCTCACCTCTCCCGTCGGGTGGTGGCGCCGAGCTCTTGGCCACTGGGGCCGTAGGCTTAGAGATACGAGGCTCTTCGGTGCAAGTCTGACCTGACTTGCCGCTCGCCGTAGCGGGGTTGGGCGGTATCTCACCACAGCCAAACAACGGGGGCACAGGCAGCATACTTGAGGCACCGCATGAGATGACCAGTTTGCACTCGAACTCCGCTCTTACTGTACTGGGGGGGGCGGCCTTTGTTGTATAGTTGGTTCCAGCCCGAAAGCCTGGACCCCGAGGGGCCAACACAACGTTCGCCAAGGCCACGAACACTTGTACCAGAGGGGGTAACAGAAAACATCTGGTGCATATGAACAGCACCGACAGGTCGCCACAACCAAAGGCAATGGCACTGTGATTGGGCGCATCCAGCCTGGAAGCGCGAAGCTTGCTGAAGTTGGAACAGCGGCTGGTATCAGGGCAAGTGGCCGACCGCTTCCCCTTGAGACAGACCTCACAACGCCAGAGCCCCGCCCAGGGACGCCACCCGTGCCTGGGAGCAGGAGGAGCAGGAGTGGCCTTCAACAGCTCAGCGTTGGACAGGTCCAGGGGTTCCCAGAGAGGAGCCAGCCTGGCAGCTAGCCTGAGCGTGCAACGGGCGGCGCGAACCATTCAGTCGATGGATACTAAAGCATCCTCATCTCGCGGATGCAGATTGACAGCGTGTTTCGCGCCGACGTCCGCATGACGATTTCCCATTCGCCTCCGCCCCTCCCGACTTTCAATGCCGAATTCGTCGTCGTCCTCGTGAGCAGCAACCTTCTCACACGGCAGGAGGGGGGAGGAGGAGTAACATTGGAGACAGGCACCAGCATACACACGTTTGCCAGACAAATGAGATGAGCGAGGCTCATTGGCTAACTTCACCACATTGGAGCAATATGAAAATGCCTGGGAGTGACCAGGAAGGCTTAGCACATGGGCTCATGTGTAGGCCGAAAACTCCGATCCCTGCGGAGTCTGGGGGTGCGGGGCCAACGCAGGGGCACGGAATTCCGCCGCGAGAGATCCTACACCATCCACCATAGCAATACAAGGGCCTGCTCGGCTGAGCTCACGGATGGGATGTCTGCACGACCCATCAACACACAGCGAGCCCCAAAGAGTGGTGGGAGTACATGGACCTATGGGCGAGACTTGACCACGCTCATGCCACACAACGATGGGACCGTCAGAGTGTTCCGTGGAGGTGCCAGGGTACGAGTCGGCGGGATGAGCGAAAGCTCTCAAGGTAAAGACAAGGATATCTTCGCCCAACTCTTCAGTCCTGAGAGCCAACACAACATCCTCCTTCACCTCTCCCTTCCTAACAGCAGTGGCCGACCTGTGAGAACAAGACCAGAGCTTGTGACATAATGTGTCAGGCTTGCCACGCAAGGGGCAGGCGATGCCAACCTGCCATCCCAACTTGAGAGCGCGGCCCCTAGTGGGAAATGCCTCGGTGGCAAGGGCACGGACCCTACTCTTTCCAAGAGGGTGCGCTTTTTATTGGCAAGAGACCCCCTCACAATATCAAACCACAGCCTATGATTGACTCCTTTCTTGGCAGCCGCGTCTCTCTCTCTCTCTCTCTCTCTCTCTCTCTCTCTCTCGAGAGAGAGAGAGAGAGAGAGAGAGAGAGAGAGAGAGAGAGAGAGAGAGAGAACGGAGATGGGCTTCGTGGTAAAGCTTCTTGATTACAGGGGGAGACATGGTGCCAAGGTGACTAGAGAGACCCCTGTGATCTTTAACCGTCATAAAGTCAGTCATAACCCAACCGAGCCTAGAGACAGACACGCGCAACGCAGAGATCGGGCCAGCAACGCAGCGCCACGAGCAACTGTCCTTGCCAAGAACAGACGCCTATGCACGGCGAAGCTCTGGCAGGCTGATTGGCCACTCGAACTGGGGCGCCCGGGGAAGCCGCGCCTCTTTCGCCCAGTGAATAATTGGCGAACGAGCCGCGCGCCAACATGGGCCCCCGTCCAAAATAGCCGTGGTGGTGAGCGGACGTAACTGAGAGTGATGACGAATGGTGCTGAAGAGACGATGACGGATGAGGGGCAACTCATTATCCGAGATACCTGCGACCTCACTCCCG